TTTTCAAAAAAGAAAAGGTGAAATTCTTAACTGAAAGGGATAGTCCATCACCATCATCAAAGGTGATATTCATTTGTTTAATTAATATGGAAATTCAGTAGAAAGGTAAGAAAGGTAAAGAATCACAAAATGAGTCTTCCCGACTCCAAACTCCCTGATTTTATCCACCTAGTTGCCAGATCAATATATATACGTAATACTTAATATATATGGTTAGCTAAAGAGGCTGAACAAATTAGGAAAACAACAGACAGAAGCAAAAGAACACCAAGATCTAGTGCTGGATAAACCCAAAGATCTCAGCAAAAAGCACCAGGCCTGGTGTCTGGAAGAGTCTGGAAGAAGTTCAAATTATGCCTCAGGTACATCCTAGCTATGTTACCCCAGATAAGTCTTAATCTGTCTACCTTAGTTTGTTCACCTATAAAATAGAGATAATGCTGTCCTTGGGTTTTTTGGAAGTATCAAGTGAGATAATAACTGTAAAGTACAGTAACTGGAACATAGCATATGTAATGCTAAGTTGTTGTCATTATTGTTTTTGTTCAGTAAGTGTCCAAGGTCACATCTAAACTCAGGTCTTCTATCTAGCTAATTATAACTATCTCTTTAAAGAAATATTCTTTTCCATTCTTTGAAATTCAAGAGTTCTACCCTTCTCCAATTTGTGGTACTATTCAATTTTTCATAATTTTTCAAGTATTACTAACCAAAAGTGATTGAGTAGGCACATCAACCAATTCTTTTGATATTCAAAGCAGCACTTAAGGAGGTGAGGTGATTTGAATTCATCAATCATTACATGATCTCTTACTCTTTCTTTACGTATATTGGTTTTTAAATCCTTTTTAGCTATAATTTTATTGAAATTTACAGCATAAAACCTATTCTCTTTGGCAGAGAAATCAGAAGCATAAGAAGTAAATATCCACCTTTAGTTATATACCTCCCCCTAGAGGAAACCCTGNATATCATCAGACAAGACACAAAAAGAAGATCGTATGTGAAATCACAAATGCCCATTACACAGCAATGACTTTTAGAAGTGTATAAAAAAATTCTACACACTGCCTCGTCCCACATTATAAACATTTGCTAAGTCAAATTTTTAACCCATGGAAGATGTTACTATCACAAATTGTAATATTATTATAAATTATAACAAATATAATTATAAATTTTATTAAATTCAACCCAATATCACAGGCCTACTACAATTTTCTGGACTCCAGCTACAGTTGAGAACTTTCTGTTATCTTCATATATGTTAATTGTTCCATAGAGACCTATTTAAGAATGATGCAATTATTTTGTGTACAAACACAATTCATTTTAAAGAGAAAAATACGTTTTCCACAGTATTTTTATATTTTTCTTATGTTTAGTTTACTGTTGCATAGAAGCATCTCTTTTTTGAAATGAAAGGATACATGCCAAAACATCATAATTCAAAGAAGTGAGATATTTCAATGAATCAACTACTGGTGTAATTAAGTTGTCATATTTTTGTATTTGTAATAAAATCTGAAAGATATGAAATCACAAAAAAAACAACAATTAATTTTGAAGCCAGCTACCTGACACAAAATCTGACATGTATCAATATGCCATCTGAATAAAGACATAAGGTATTTTCAAACTTTAAATTACTTTAAATATATTTTTAAATTGGAACTTTACATTTCTCCCACAGACTTTTTAAAGTTTTGAAGTAGATGAATTTCCAATTAAATCTGAAACTGCTTAACTTTCTTAACAAAAACTAGATTAAATAAAACAGAAAGCTCAGCAGATACAAATTCTATAAAGCACTTTTTGATACAAAAATAAATGCTGTATTTTCAACGTAATCAAAGATCTCATTTTTTCCTTAAAAGTACTACATACTCTAACATTAAGCCTTTAAAATTATTTTAAATCAAAAACATCAAACAAAAATGTTTTGTATTAGGACTATTCATAGCATGATAATGTAAAAAACAGGCCATTTCTGTCCTTGTTTATCAGCTGTTGCTGAGTTGTTTTTCAGTGGTTTGCCATTTCATTCTCCAGCTCATTTTACAGATGAGGAAACTGAGGCAAATAAGACTAAGGGACTTACACAGGGTCACACAGCAAATAAGTGTCTAAGGCCACATTTGAACTCAGGAAGAGAAGTCTTTCTGACTCCAGATTCTTGCCTACCCAGCTGACACAGTAAAATTTTGTTTCAAAATTCATGTAACTTTATGTAAATCTCGAAACCTACATAATCAAACAAAATAGTTGGGTTGCAGTGGCTCAGCTTCCCAATCCATCTTCCAGAGGGCTTGACATCTTCCTTTGTAAGACGCCTAGGGAAAAAAAAAAGATATATGAGTTTCATTATTTTTGTTTATTTTTAAACAC